ATCTGTTGAACACGTTCCTTAGTGTATGGTAATCTTATGAGTATAAAGTAAAAGGAAAGTAGATCATTGTGAAAGTTAAGAGAAAGAATAGGAGAGATAAGAGGAGGAAGAGTGGGAGCGTGGGCAGAAGGGAGGGTAGGGTGAAAAGTAACGCTATGTTCCTAAATCTCTGTAGATGAAATTTGTATACCTTAAACAAAATTTTTCAAAATCTGTGTCAATGGCATAAAAGATAAGGTTTTAAAGAGTAGTAGAACATTAAAAAATCCAAAAGAAAAACAAAGTGTAATTGGTCTAACTTCTTTCTTCAATTTATTTGAAAGGCAGACACAGAGCTCCTACCTACTGGTTAACTTCCCAAATGCCTGTGATGACCAGAACTAAGCAAGGCCAAAGCTGGGAGCCAGGAACTTAAGCTGTGTCTCCTCCATGAGCACAGGAACCCAATTACTTGAGTCATCACCACTGCCTCCCAAGGTCTGCATCAGCAGGAAGCTGGAGTCAGGAGACAGAAACAGGCATCAAACACAGGCACTCTGATAGAGGATAGGGCAGCACAACCAGGGTCCTAACCACTCAGCTAAATGCCCAACACCAAATCTTTTTATAGAGAAACCTAATCATGTAAGTCAAAATAGAAAATGCACATAATTTTTAACCCTGAAATTCCACTTTGTTCAGTCTTCCTTAAAAGTTAATTAAGTATGAAAATAAATAGACATAGAAACTTCCATCACAAAACTATTTGTAATAACAAAATACTCAGAAATAATCTAAGTGTCAAGCGGGAATGGACTAAAAAAATCATTATCAGATACTATCTCTGGGTGATAAGAATGTTTCTCTTGGATTCTCATGACTAATTATCATTTTACGTATCATTGATGAAGGTTCAGTTCTGCTTCTTATAGCCTGAACACCTACAAAAATTTAATTTTATTATTTCAAAATTATATTTATTTATTTGAAAGGTAGAGTTATAGAGAAGCAGAAGTAGAGGCAGGGAGAGAGAGAGATCTATCTGCTGGTTTACTCCCCAAATGTTCACTAAGGCCAGAGCTGGCCCAATATAAAGCCAGGAGCCAGGAGATTCTTCCTGGTCTCCCACATGGGTGCAAGGGCCCAAGGACTTCGATTATCTTCTGCTGCTTTCCCAGGTGCATTAGCAGGAAGCTAGATGAGAAGTAGGGCAGCCAGGACTTGAACAGGGCCCCAAATGGGATGCCAGCACTGTAGGCAGTGGCTTTACCCACTATACCACAGTGCTGGCCCCCAAAAAATTAATTTTAAAATGAAGTAGATAAAATCAAAGACTTTTTTGTATAAAATCTGACCATTTCATCCTTTCACTACTTCCATACAGAGAAAAAAGAGCTCTATTCTCTAATCCCATCCTTTAATTGGGTTGTCTTTTATATATAATTCCAAATATCCATGGCCTTTAAAAAAAACCTGTGTCATGAGGGAGACTAACAAAATAAAAATTAGGGGTGGTTCAGAGCAAACCCACCTCTGATGCTAATAAGACACAGCACTCACACTAATTCAGTGAGCTGCTGCAGAATCTAGAATTATCACCACAGGACCCAAGTTAAAGGGAGCAATAGTGATTTGGACAACTGCCAGGTTTTAAAAGTGGACTTTAGGTTTCTGGTTTTTAGTTATTTAGGCTTGAGGATGTCACTATTTCCACTAAAATGACAGATGCATAATAGGGGGGAAAAAAGCAAAACATGAATAATAACAAAATAGTAAATTATCCTCTGAAATTATAGTTCACAGCAATAATTACTGCTAATATTAAGTATTTTGCTTTCATTTTTAAACCTATTTCAAAGGAATTATATCATTTCTCATCCATTATAATGGTGAAATTTAAAATCACGTTAATATTCAGTGGTGACCAGGCATTTGACATAGCAGTTAAGTAGCTACTTAGGATGCCTGTATCCCATATCAAAGGACCTGGTTCAAGTACTGGCTACTCCATTTCCTGTCTAGCTGCCTGCTAAGGCATATCCTGGGAGCAACAAATGATGGCTTAAGTACTTGGGTCCCTGCCCTCCACATGGGAGGCTAGGATGAAGTTCCTGACTCAAGGTGTCAGCCTAGACTAGCCTTGGCTGTTGCATGCATTTAGGAAGTGAACCAGTAGACGGAAGACCTCTCCCCTGACTCCCTCTGCCCTTCAAATAAAATAAAAATAAATTTTAAAAACGTTAAGTATATTAGGTGCTGGCCATGTTATGGGAAATGAACACCCTCATCTGCTGCTGATGAAAGTGTAAACTAGTATATTAATACAGTGAAAAGCAATGTGGCAGAATCTATATGGTATGAACTATATATCTGCATCTCCCCACCACTTATGTTAAAGCCTTAACCTACAATGGGCTGGTATTAGATGATAGGGTCTTTGGGATATAATTAGTTTTATAGGAGGTCTTGAGGGTAAAGCCCTCAGGAATTAAGGTCCTTAATTCACTCTCTCTACCATGAGAGGTTACAACAATAAGACAAACATTTTTAAACCAGGAAGATTCCCTGACCAGATACTAAGTTGCCAGTGCCTAAATCTTGGATTTCCCTGTCTCTACATGTGTGAGAAGTTATTATTTAGGCTGCTCAGTCTATGTTATTCTTTTAAAAGAGATAGAGAGATTTCTTTGTTTATTTGGAAGTCAGAATTACAGAGAGAGAGGGAGAGACAGAGAGGTCTTCCATCCATTGGTTCATTCCCCAGATGGCCACAATGGCCACAGCTGGGCCAGGCAGAAGTCAGGAGCCAGGAGCTTCATTCAGGTCTGCTATGTGGTGCAGGGGTCCAAACATTTGGGCCATCCTCCACTGCTTTTCCCAGGCTATTAGCAGGGAGCTGAATTGGAAGTGGAGCAGCCGGGACATAAACTGGCACCAATATGAGATGCTGCCATGCCAGGCGGTGGCTTAACCTGCTATGCCACATCATCAGCACCCCGCCCCATCTATGTTATTCTTTGTTCGAACAGCTCAAATTAAGATACTATATAAACTAAAAATACCACCCAAATAACTTTTTTACATTGAGATGTAATTATTTACTATAAAATTTGCCTTATAAGGTACCCAATTCAGCACAGTTAAGATGCTCAGAGTTGTGCCACATCAACATTAATTCCAGAACATTTTCATGACCTCAAAAAATAAACTCCATTCCCATTAGTAATCAATCCTTACTCTCCTTTCCCCCAGTCCTTGGCAACAACTAATTCACTTCTTGTCTCTATGGATTTGTTCATTCTGAGATTTCAAATAAAGGAACCCATATGCTAGGTGGCCTTTTGTTAATTGGCTTCTTTCACTTAGCAAAACACTTTCAAGGTTTGTCCACTTTGTAACATGAATCAATACTCCATTCCTTTTAATAGCTAAATAATATTCTACTTTATGGATATACCCTATTTGATTATATATTCATCAGCTGATAGATATTTCCCTTGTTTCTGCATTATGGCTATTATGAATAATGCTGCTATGGATATTTTTGTACAAGGTTTTCTGTGTCTTTTTTATTGCAGCCATCTCTGCAGCTGTGAAACAATTTCTTATAGTGCTTCTGATGTATACTGCCCTAATGACTAATGGTGTTGAACAGCTTTTCGTGTACTTACTGGCTATTTCTATACCTTTCTTCGAGTAACGATTACTCAAATATGTTGTCTAGTTTTTAACTGGGTTGTCTTTTTATTATTGAGCTATAATGGTTCTCTACATATGATGGATCACAGACCCCTATCAAATGGTTTGTAAATATTTTTACCCATGCTCTAGATTCTTTTCACCTTCTTGACCATATGTTTTGAAGCACAAAAGTTTTCCATTGGTCTTTTTCACTTTATTTGAAAGATGGACAGAACAGACAAAGAGGAAGAGAGAGAGAAAAATCTTCTATCTACTGGTTCACTTCCCAAACGCCCACAGCAACTGGGGCTTGGACTGGATCAGGCCAAAGCCAGGAGCCTGGTACTCAATCTACGTCTCCCACATGAGTGGCGGGGATCCAAGTACTTGAGCCATTGCCACTGCCTCTCCAGATGTACATTAGCTGGAAACTGGACAGAAGCAGAGCTGGGATTCAAACCAAGCACTCCAATATGAAATGTGGGTATCCCAACTGGCATCTTTCAATTTTAATGAAGTAATTTTATCTTTTTCTATTGAACATATCTAAGAAACCACTGCCTAACCTAAGATCACAAAAATTATACCAGTATTTTATTCTAAGTGTTGTTAAATTAACCTTAAATTTTCTACAGTTTAATTATATCTGTGGTAACAATGATACATGTTTGTCAAACTCATAGAAATATACACTAAGAAGAATAAAGTTTATTGTTTATTAATAATCTCAATAAACTTGATAGCTTGAACTTCTGCTTCAGCTTTAGGGGTTATGTACAAGGAACATATGATCCACAAACACTGTAGTATTATTTGTAATAATGAGTCTATCAAATAGGAAATAAGGGTAGTCATAACATTGAATTTTATGCAATAGTTCAAAAGATTCAGCTAAGTTTATATATGTGTGTATCAAAAAGAACTCAAATGTTCTAGTAAACAAAAGAGTTGTACACAGTAATTTACACACCATGAAATTATGTATGCAAAGAATTTATATAATCACATCGTGTGATTCTATGAATACTTATGTAAGTATCTGAGGTATCTGTTAAAGGACTGGAAGGATATTCACAATCTGGAAATACTTTGCCTCTGCAGACAGAAAAAGTCACCAGGATGGGCAGCTGGTCAGAAAGGAGTTGAACGCTGTCATTTTTCCCCAAAGAAAAATATATTCATTGTTTACTTGTGTGTTTAAAAAGGAATCTGTGTGAGCTGTAAGCAAACTAAGAATAAAGTCATATTTTAATATTTGTGTTCATGGAAACAATCCTGCACCCACCCACCCCCACACACACTCACATACACACCCACACACACACAACACACAGTCTTACCAATTTGGATTTTCCACACTTTCCCGGAAGACAGATTCTTCCTTCATGGATGCATACTGTGTCCACGTAAGGCAGTGACTCCGTATGGCCATGTTTCGTTCCTGAGGATTGAGCCAGGATTCCTCTTCCAGCTGAATACTGGGTACCTTTAAAATGCTCACCTGTGCAACAGATGAAGAGATTTCTCACTGAGAAAGAGCAGGCTACATAAGGACTGTGTTCAGAGGAGCTTTCAGTCACAGATAACTAAGTGGACAAGCAATCATGATTTCTGGATGAAGGCTCACCAATGGCTGTAACGCTCTGATAATCTAATGTACTCTGACCTTAGTAAGTCATGGTAAGGACATGTAAATGACAAAGGATTCATGTAGGTTGTGCCTGATACCCCTAACTGGTAAACACTAAGCAAATTATCGGCCTCCTTCTTGTCTCCTCTAGGGCTGGTCACGGCCACCTTAAATTGATGGGTTCTAATTGGGCCACTTACAGGCGCCCATGCAGGAAGATATTAGGTAAAATATTTTCTTCACTTTAAATCCCATCCAAAACCTTAAAATGTATGCTTTCCTAGGTGGAGAAGATATGGAAAATTACAAAGGGAGAATTGTACAAGTCAGAGGCATCTTTAAATTATTTAGGAATTGAGATACAAGACAAAGTTGAATGCCTTTTTAAATAATAGATTCAAAGTGTGTATATAGGGCAAAGGCAGGGTGTGCACTCTGTGGAAAAAGCCAGTAATAACTTGCTGCTATGGGTAACACATTTTACCAACTGGAAAAAGACAATAAAGTTCATTTTCACTATCATATGATCTTTCTTTCCACTAAAGAATGTGGCAGACTCTTTTAATTCACAGTCAGTAAGCAATGGAAGCTTCCATTTTTCCTATAGACAGCACCACAATTTAATATGCAAGCTAATCAGAGGGAATCAACTTGAGTTCTCCATCACACACAGAATCTCTTCAGGTTGAAGCTACCACTTAGACGATTTAAAAAGTGCCTACCAAGTTGCTCTCCTCTGCCTAATAACCCTAAGAAGAATCCCATCAAAAATCCTCTACGGTTCAAGCAATGTGATGAAAAATTTCCACTCACCTTTTTCCAACAAAGAATCACCAGAGTGCTTAAGGGTTTCAAAAAGAGAAAACAATTTGCTATCATGAAGATTTCATCATCAAGGATATTATTTTACAGAACCACACACAACAAGACTTAACAAGGAGCACTGAGAACAAATACTCCTGAAATAGCTGTTATCTCCACCACTGAATTAGAAACTGAAGGTTTTTTAAAAAATATTTATTTGAAAGGCAGAAATACAGACAGAGAAGAACAAAGAGAGAAACAATCTTCCATCTGCTGGTTCACTCCCGAGTGACCACAAAAGCAATGGCTAGGATTAGGACCAGCCTAGGCCAAAGACAAGACCCAGGAGCTTCTTCCAGGTCTCCAAGGTCCATTCAGGGGCCCAAGCAAATGGGTCATCTTCCACTGCTTTCCCAGGTGCATTATCAGGAGCTGAATCAGAAGAGGAGCAGCCAGGACTCAAACCAATGCCCATATGGGATGCCAGCACTGCAGGAGGAGACTTAACTTTCTACACCAGAGTGCCAGCCCAGAAACTGAAGTTTTCAATCTTCCTTACTAAAAATCAGAGTAAATATTTACAATTTTCCCACTTATAATCATTCTTACCTAGGAGTCATTTCTAACCATGTACAAATTAGAAGATAGTCACTACATGAAAAATGCCAAAAACATCTTTTAAAAAACTGTAGAACATCTCTACTAGAAACCATGACATACAGAGAGAGTGAGTGAGAGGGAGACAAATGGAGACAAAGTATCTCCAGCAGCATGTGCCAAAACTGAGGTCGATGTGAAACAGCTTTCTAACTCTGAAGGGTTACAAGTTAGGAGAAGTAGGAAAGTTATACTGTTTCTCTAAATAAGAAAATGCTGTCTCTTTCTCTATTAAAAATTACTCCAAGTCCAAGCATTTAGCCCAATAGTTAAGGTACCTGCTTTCTACATCAGAGTACCTGGGTTTGACACCTGGCTGCAGCTCTTGACTCCAACTTCCTGATAATTTGTACCTGGGAGTCAGTGGTGATGGTTCAAGTAATGAGTTCCTTGCCACCCATTTGGGGGACCTGGACTACATTCCTAGCTCCTGGCTCTGGCTTCAGCCCAACCCTTGCTACTGCAGTCATTTGTAGAATAAAACAGCACACTGGAGTTTGCTTTTATGCGCTTGATCTCTCTCTCTCTCTCTCTCTCTCTCTCTCTCTCTCTCTCTCTGTCACACACACACACACACACACACACTCACACAAATAAATAAAAAATAATACTATTACTCAGTGTTATACCAACACAGATTTATTTCTGAAATTAATTTACCTTCCTTAAAATTTCTGGAACAACATTCTTACAGACTGCAATCCTCTTTCGATAGATAATTCCTGTTGACTCATCTAGAGAAAGAAAAAACTTACACTCAAAAAATTCTAATTAAAGAATTTATTCTCGTCTTAATGCTAATAAAGCTTTTAAAGTCAATCTCAATTTACTGTATATAGAAAATGTTTAACTCAAAACTCAGTTTCTTTCACTACTTTCTGGGCCAAGTCATAAATATTCCCTGTCTGTGATCAAGAAATAAGGGTAGGATAACAACTCACAAGGCACATTCTGGTGTCACAGATAAAAGAATCAGAAAGTATTCCTTGCTCTGGACTATCAGTGTTGACACCTAGCGAGCCTCCTGCTTAACTCTAGCAATGGGAATGCTTGAATAAAAACATGATTCTGCCAACTTTTGTATCAAGCACAGGCTTCTGGCTACAAAATTTAAACCCATAATTACTTACTTATACTAGCCACAGTCTTCTTTTTTTTTAAGATTTTATTTATTTATTTGAGAGGTAGAGTTACAGACAGTGAGAGGGAGAGACAGAGAGAAAGGTCTCCCTTCCATTGGTTCACTCCTCAAATGGCCACAATGGCCGGAACTGCACCAATCCCAAGCCAGGAGCTTATTCCCAGTCTCCCACGTGGGTGCAGGGGCCCAAGGACTTGGGCCATCTTCTACTGCTTTCCCAAGCTACAGCGGAGAGCTGTGGGAAGTGGAGCAGCCGGGACTAGAACTGGTGCCCATATGGGATGCCAGTGCCACAGGTGGAGAATTAACCCACTGTGCCATGGCACTGGCTCCAGCCATAGTCTTCTCTCATAAGGAAGTAGACCCTCTATGACAAGAAGCAATCTGTTTGGGAGTGATGTATCCAGAATTAAGTCAATGACATAAAAAATACAATGAACATGAGTTAAGAAAAAGGGAGATAGAGGCAGTGAAAAAGAAAAACTTTGAAATGTGGTCACTGGTGTTGTGAATTACTGTGACTCAGCCATGTTGCTATAGGATTTCTCAAAACTCTGGCTATAATAGCCTCAAGCCCTGTGGCAAACACCGTGGCTGCTCAGAAGCTGATAGGGCACAAAACTGGCTCACCTCTGCCCACTGATACGTCTTTGTCCCTGTCATCCAATGTTGGCTGCCTGCACACTTAAAATAAATTAGCCATTCCTGGAAGCAAAGAGGCCCCCCACCCTGACAATGATGGAAATTATAACTAACATTCTTCTTTTAGGATATGCACATTGCTCTCAAATTTGATCTTCATGACAAGCTAAAAACAAGTTGTTTTCCCAACTGATGGATGAGAAGCTGAGCCTCCTAAAAGTTACGTCGTGAAGGTAGTAATAAAATCAGATTTGTCTGATGCAAAAAAACAACAAAGTTTCTCCCACATTTGAGGGCAGGTTCATGAGAAAATGGGTGTTTCCTAATATATTTATATGGTTATACACATACAGAAAATGTCCTCACAAACCAAAGACAGTTTTATGTTTACCAAGTGCAGAGAGGTCTTACAGTCATGTGATGAGCAGTGGTGTCCCATGCTTTCTTAGGAAGGCTGAAGAGCATGCTAGACCTGCACCTCCCTGGGCATCTCCAAAGTTTGTGCATTGACTGGGTACCTTGTCATGGCCTCCTGCAAAGCTCTATCTTCAAGTTCAAACTTTATTCACAAAACCAGGCAGCACAGGCCACAGTTGATCCACCCTGCTTTAGTCAACATTGAATCACACTGCCAAATATTTATAATTCCACAATCCAATCACTTTCCAGTCACAGCTCACATCCATGCTGCTCATTACATCTATTTTGCCATATATAAATGCACTATCAGGATAAGTCATGTGACCTTGAAAAAGTTATTTAATCTCTCTGTACCTCAGTTTCTTCATTCATTAAATAAGAATAATCATAACAACTACCCCACACATTGTTCTGAAAATTAAATGGGTTAGTAAGAGTGCCCAGCATGTATTAAGTGCTTCAGAAGTGTTAACTGTTAAAATTATACTTATAGCTAATTATAGCTTAGTTTTGTCACCAATTATTACTTAGAAAGTATCAAGAGCATTGTTTAAAACACAATAGGTTGGACACATACACATAGACACACACACACACACACACACACATGCACGCACCCCTTACAAAAATCAGTAAAACTTACTGATCATCATGGGAGTGACAGCATATTCAGGGAACTTACCTCTTTTTTCCTCCACGATTTTTACAGAGATGACATTTTTGTCCATAGGGTTGGGGTACTAAATGAAAACACATAAAGAAGAATTAGCATTCATCTTTTGCCAGAGTGAATTACTTAGTAGTAAATATTTTCCAAGCAACCTCTAACTAAAGGCTAGTTTTCAATTAAGGATCTCAAGTTTACAACCTGGGTCTAAGTCAGTGACATGCTATCACCTTGTACAAAATCCAGGGGAAATCAACTTTGGATCCAATCTAACCTTGGGTGGAGAGCAGGCATAAGGTTCAGCTAATTAACAAATAATAACACTATTAATATTGAATGAGTCTAACATAAATCAAAAATATCCTTTTTTAAGATTTATTTATTTATTTGAAAAGCAGAGTAACAGAGAGGCAGGGGCAGAGACAGAGAGGTCTTCCATCCGCTGATTCACTCCACAACTGGCAGCAACAGCCAGAGTTTGACCCAAAGCCAGGAGCTTCTTCAGGGTCTCCCATGCACGTGCAGGGGCCCAAGGACTTGAGCCATCTTCTACTATTTTCCCAGGCCATAGCAGAGAGCTGGATCAGAAGTGGAGCAGCCAGGTCTTGAACTGGCACCCATATGGGATGCCGGCACTGCCTGTAGCACGGCTTTACCTGCTACACCACAGTGTTGGTTCCAAAAATGTTCTTCACACCAGCCACTGTGCTAAACACTTTTTTTTTTTGCAAGACCTTGTCCAAATCCAATAGCCTCTCTGAGATAACTAGTTTAGGAGATACCATTAGCCCCACTCTTCAGAAATGGAAACTGAATCAAGATTAGACTAGTTAGAATCACACAGTTGTGTTCTGGTGCAACCAGGAAATTCAACCAGTTCTCTTAACAGAGCGATCACCTTCACTGCTTACTGACTCCCAGATACTTTCTGTCTGCCTCCAAAGCCTGCCCACCTAACCTACAATCAAATCACCTCAGAGTTCCTCTAATCCAACCCTTTCCACTCATGCTCAGATGTGAAGGGAGACTGTGAGAGGTGAAGGGACATCCACAAAGCCAAAGGACAAGGTGGCGGCTGACACAAGCTTGCTGAGCCCTGGACTGGGCTCTGTTCCCCAAGGTTTACTGCTACATCATGTGATAAAATCTCCCAAGGAACTGAGAAGAACCTCATAGCCAGGACATCCTAAGCTGGTGGGCAGGATGCAAGAGTAGCAGGTAGGTTGAGGGGTGGGAGAAGTAGGACCCTCCACTTGGTAACCTGGCTTTACTTCTTCTGAAATCAGGGAATAGAATACAAAAACCTGTGAGTGTGGGGCTCCCTACCCCACAGTAGTAGCAGGCATATGCTTACATGTATGATGTGTATGTATGACTGAATTTCAGGGGAAACAGTTTGTCCATTTCACACATTGTAAAAGAATTGAGGGTACCTGGAAAATGTTACAGAAAATGGAATCAAAAGATAAGTCTTGGGGTGGACGTTGGGGCACAGCTGGTTAACTCACCACTTGGGACGCCCGCTTGGTTCAAGGCCCAGCTACTACATGCTTCTGATCCACCCTCCTGCTAATGCACCTGGAAGGCAGCATACAATGGCCCAAGTACTTTGGTCCCTGCCACCTTTGTAGGAGACTTAGATGGAGCTCCTGGCTCCTGGCTTCAGCCTGCCCTAACCCTGGCTGTGGCAGGCATTTGGGGAGTAAACCAGGGGCTGGAAAGATCCATCTGTCTCTCTTCCATCCTCCTTCCCTCTCCATCACTCTCTGTCTTTCAAATAAATACGTAAATATTTTTTCAAAGTTTACTTTCATGCAAAAAACAATCTTGAAATTTTTTTTTCAAATATGCATTTTCCATGAACTTTTTAAATACCCTTCACATCTGTGGCCAAAAAGGACATAAGAGCAGAACATGGGCTTTCTGAGGTCAGGAACACCACCTAGCTCAGTTGTCACCTTATCTCTGCCAACCTGCAGTGTCTGGCATGTGGCACCCAATGAAGACTTGCTGAACCAATAAATGATGCGGAATATAAACCTCAATGACCTCAGAGCTCAATTTAGAAAATAAACCTTTCTTCTTGGTACCTAGTCCTGAAGAGAACAGTGGGCTGTTTCTCAGCAGCCTGAGCAGCTCTTTGTGTCCTGAGTTGATAAACTCCATCACTCATACTGCCTCTGTAGCAACTGCAGTCCTGACAACTAATGAAAAACATGGCTTTTAAAAATGTACTTATTAGGAACTCCTAGACTCCAATCAAAAAATAATGTCAAAGGTGGGGAAAGAGCTGATTACCTGGTTTGCATGCAATATAACACATATGTATATGTATATATGTCATTGTGCATATGTGTGTGTGTGTGTGTGTAATATATATCACACTGTGCTCCATTAACACATACAAATATTTTTCATTTAAAACTTCAGGAAATGGGCAGTGCTGTGGTGCAGTGAGTTAAGCTGTGTCCACACTGCTAGCATCACATATGGGCATCAGTTCAAGTCCCAGCTGTTGCACTTCTGATCTAAATCCCTGCTAATGCACCTGGGAAAGCAGCGGAGAATAGCCCAAGAGCTTGGGCCCCTGCACCCACATGGGAGACCTGGAGGAAGCTCCTGCCTCCGGCCTGGCCCAGCCCTGGCCACTATAGCCATTTGGGGAGTGAAACAGCAGATGGAAGATATATTCTCTCTCTCTCTCTCTCTCTCTCTGTAATTCTGATTTATAAATAAATAAATCTTTGAAAAAAACCTCAGAAAAATAAACTTAAAAAATAAAAACATATTCATTCATCCATACTACTCCTAGAAAGAAATTCTCAAAATTACTACCGCTTTCTTGAAACTCTGCCCTTCAAAGATATGAGGGGGTTTCAAAAATCTTATGGTAAACAGAAGTAAGAGCTAAAGCAAATTCTTCATGAACTTTTTGAAGCCTCCAGGCACATGTCCACAGCAGAGGATCAGGCTTAGGTATTCTGTGTTCCAGCAAAGGACACTTTCACTCAAACAGTACCTCAAAGGGAGACAGTTGAGACCCACACAGGTTCCCTGAATCGTGTGTGTGTTTGTGTTTGTGTTTGTGTGTGTGTGTGTGTGTGTGTGAGAGAGAGAGAGAGAGAGAGAGAGAGAGAGAGAGAGATGATGTATCTTTTATGTTTTTTTTCCTACTTAAAGATAATTTATCTGAAATTCAGAGTTACAGAGGGAGAGGCAAAGGCAGAGAGAGGTCTTCCATCTGTTGGTACACTCTCCATGTGACCACAATATCCAGGACTGGGCCAGGCTGAAGCGAGGATCCAGGAGCTTCCTCCAGGTAGCAGGGTGCAGGTATCCAAGGACTTGGACCATCTTCCACTGCTTTCCCAGACACATTAGCAGGGATCAGGATCATAACAGAAGCAGTGGGGAGTCATGGATGCCAGAACTGCAGGATGCATCTTCACCTGCTATGCCACAGTGCTGGCCCCAAGTCTTCTTACTTAAATACATAATTTTATTGCTCAAAAGTTTGATCTTTCACAAAATATTAGAATAAAATCTCTTCATAATAAGAACTGCCTTTTCTACAGGCTTTTGTAACATGTTCCTTATTTGCAACTTGTATGTTAATGTAAAATAAGACCATCCTTTAATACATTTCTCATTTGTTTGGTGTAGATTCATAATACACCCTTACTGAACAGTACAGATACACTAGAAGTTGTAGGGAGATTACTGAACTAAATAATGAAGGAGGTTCCATGGAAATGTAATTACCAGAGAAGCACCATCATAAACATTTTCAAATCCTGATGAATTCCTTAGGTTATCAGAGAAATTCCTAAAGCTTATAAACTCAAATACTTTGAATTTTCATGGATGTTTATATTTACTTATTAAAACACAGGGTATTGATTTAAATAACAGTGAAAACTCTCCAGCTTGTTCTCAATTTAACAGTTTTGGGGGCACTATCACGCCAGGCACTGAAAATACAATAATGAAACAAATCAAACTGTAGCCTCTTATGCAGTTTATGTGTCAGTTGTGGAAGCAAACAAATGATAAATATGCAGGTCTGCTCCGGAGAAAACAAAGCAGACTGAGGAACAACAAATGGATGAAATTGTGGAGGGGAGCACTATAAAATGCTTAAGGATAACCCATTAGAAAATGCTTGTAAATCACAAAAGTGAATGAAAAGCTTATTAGGCAAACACAAGAGACCATAAACTATTCACTCTAGAAAATAATCATTTGCATGATTCAAGTCATTTCCTACACAGCTACTTTCGGAATTGGATATAAGCCTCGAGTTTCCATTCAAGAATGATAAAAGGAATTAGTGGTTTATCTGTAATCGCTAAATACCATAACACAAAAGGCACATATTTTAACTTTTTTAAAATTAAAGATGTATTGAACGGAAGTTCCCCCTACCTGGAATGACTTGAAATGGTCTGATGCCACCTTGTGGCAACATAAATATTCATGTTTTAATTCACAAAAATTGGAATGATCACCAGATCAGGATCAAGTCCATCAAAGACCCACTGAGCATCCACTGTGTCTTTGCAGAGTGCTGTATTAGATAAAGGCTGTAATATACATGATATCATTTGGTCCTCTCCAAAATTGGGAAACCTATTGCTAAGTATTAAGATATGAAGTCCTCAGTTAAGAACATAATGATGGAAAATCTGCAAATAAGCACAGTCACATTGGGAGTCTCCAGTCCCATTCCTAAACCAAAGATCCTCATGGAAGCAGAATGGTCTGATGACCCAGAAGTTTGCCCAGGGTCCTTGTCCTCCACAAGCCTGGCTCAGTGGATCATCAACTGAAGTGTGCATAAGATTTTCTGCATGGAGCTGTGTACACATACTATGTAGGCTACGCTTTAGGGTGATTTAACGGATTTCTCAAGGTACACTTGACTTCATTTTGAACTTGCTTATGATTTTTACTTTCTTCACAGAATGCAAACCAACTCCTTCCCCTTTCCCCAAGATATATAAATAGCAAATATCAATTGCCTGTATCATATGTGTAACAATATAAAGATAAAGTGTAGACTTTCCTAAGGTT